AACATGGTTTTGTGGAACTCGTATTTATTTTCGAAGAAAATAGTCAGTTTAAGTTTAAATCGAGACTGTTCCATCTTCTCTTGTGGGCGTCAGCGTACATATAATATATCGACCGAAATTGTTGTATGTTTCTCTTATCATCTATAAATAATGTTAGAACGCTAATAGCCTAGTTTCTTGTTTCAGCCTTTACTGCTAAGTAAAGTAGTTTTATTAAAAAATACCGCTAGGTTTCTAGATAATTATTAAATATCTGTGTTTGATATTGAACTACTTAGTTTTAAAGGAATATAGTTCTACCTATTCATGAAAGTGAACAAGCAATTTATCAGATCTTTTTTTGTGTCTACCAACTTATTCTTTCCACTTAAATTCCATCTTTTCTTCTATTTTCACTTATTATATGTCATATTCAATAACAAAGAAAATTGTTATTAACAATACAATTAAATTAAAAGAAAGATAAGCATTCACTTTGTATAATTTTTTTTGTAATGTCTATTTGCTTGCTTAGCAGTGGTTACATGTTCTATTGTTCAACTATGTTTTATTAACATTTGGCTAGGTTAAAAGATCGTCTTTAGATAGAAAATGATAATTTATTTGTGACACTTGTTGAATATATATATCCGCAATAGATTACTGTATTGCACATTTTATCTTCACTTTAAAAATAAAATTATTTCGATAACAACAATTGCAATAGGATCATGAAAGTTTTACCTATTTACGTCTCATCCAGCAATTTTTTTCATAACTCATGTTTACGCCGTTAATATAATACAACTGTATCATGAGGGGGATACTATTTAAATTTATCCATACAAAACGTCTTATTTAGTAAAACAAATTATTATAAGCATGGTTTCTATCTAAACTAGAATCGTTTCAAAGAAAATACAGTTTGCGTTTACATTATTTGACTTTCTTGGTTAAAAGTAATTATCATTAAAATAACTTTCCAGAATTGAAAGAAAATAGCATATATTTCATTATTTATTTATATGAATGATAAAAATCTCATGAATCTTGTTTCATATAAAACTACGATATTATATATTAATTTTAATTTATAACTGGTTTTTGTCTATACTATGATTCCATTAAAATAGAATAAAAGTACTGAGAGAAGTTCTCCAGCATTTCTTGATAGACTTCATGTTTACGTTGATTTTACTGGTGGTAATGTGCATTCATTCTTTTTAATACGTAATAACTCATAATGTACAGCTACAAATTGTCTAGTAAATTTCACAAGTTCATTTAAATTATTATCATTTGCCAATCGATCAATATGTTGAAAAACATAGAATTCATCAAGAATATACATTGATGTTGGTGGTACATAATGAAATGTATTTGGTTCAGAATCAGCATGCAAACGTTTTATCCCATTTTGTTTCAGTGTTTGTTGTGGATTATCGGCCCAAAATCCTGGTACAAGCGAAGCTTTAACACCTAGCGATGCTGCGAGACAGTTAACAGCCACTATATAAGCAAACTCTTATGCATGTGTATTGACAAGAAAAGAGACTAGAAGAATTTTTTACCATCATTATAAGGTGATTTTTCGGTTGGCCACTCATCTTGAAAAAATTGTTCTATTTTAGGGTACATCATTTCCATCAAAGTAGCACTGAGGAAAAAACCAGCACCACCTGATGGATATTGTACACCTTCAATTGTTTGGGTTTTTTTTCTAAAACATGGATAATTGAAAGGATGACCACCAATAACAAGAGCTTTTGTATGATTAAATTCGTCGAGGCGTTTGAGTAAATGTGGAACATTAACAAATGTATCACAACCTGCTAGAAACTAAAATTTTGCTGTTTGATTGTGTTCTTTATAAGCTATTTTCAAGCCTTTATATAATTTTTTCATATTAGACATATAGTTTTCTCCAGCACCTTCAATAACAGTTACAGGTAATGATGGATATGGTGTTGAACTAAAAAAATATTTATGCGTAACGCGTGATAACCATGTATCTCGAGTTGCTAGTGCACGAGTTTGATAAAACGGTGCACCTGTATAAATAATGAACACAATATCACTTTCCACATATCGTTTAGCTGAAATCCATTTATTTCGGGGTGTTGGAACAATATCACAATAAGCTAAAAAATACATCAATATAAACATCATAAGAATAACTATAGGAATTTGGTAGGATCAGTTTACCAAGCATGGATGATATATGAGAGTGACATTTAGTAACCACAATTTATAGACTAAAAAGACATTTGAATCCTCATTAAGACTCATATATTGTCCAAATTCTTTTATGTTTCATTTTTTAAGCCAAGAAGTATTGATTTCGATTTTCTACGTTGTTGATTAACCCGTTGAGGGCGAAGCCCGTATATATACGGGCTCAAAATTTGAATGGATTAGTAAAGGAATTACTCCCTAGTTCCATCTATAATATATAGCGATAACCTAATGAAGCTCACTAGTGAGATCCTGCAAGCGCTAGGATGATATCTTGCGTAAGGCACCATCATTGATTCATATGAAAACAATTATTTTGTTTAGAATTCGAGAATGTTCTGTTGAAGTTATAAATAGGAGGTACATTTGTCTCATAGAAACTAAACGACAGTTCGATAAGGTCATACTAAAGAAGACACGATAGCAACAATTACTGTTACTAATCAACTTTATAAGTTATTATCACTTGTTTTTCATATTTTGAAATTTTTCTGGATTATTACGGCATCTAGTAGTACCACTGATTCAGATGTTACTGAAACTTTTTCGAATTCTGAATTAGATGATGAATTAGATACTGATTCAGTTTGCGACTTTGATAACGAATCGGACAGTGGAGATGAAGAACAGGATACAGAAACGTCTTTCGAAGAGCGAATATGGAGAGTGGAATGGTTCGAACCAAAAACATTTATAGTCGACTCAAATAAATCTGGTATCAACTCATATTTACCAAAAAATGATGAAGATAAACCACTAGATTATTTTCATTTGATATTTGATCACAGTCTGATGCAAAAAATTGTCGAGGAAACAAGCAAGAATCATTTCTATACAATGCAACACGAAAGTTTGCCTGACCGATACCAAGAAGCAATTAGTGCTACTGTACCCGAAATGTATACATTTTTTGCACTTTATATGCTAATGGCTCATATAAAAAAAAGTCGAATGAAAGACTGCTGGCCTACTGACCCTTTGATTTCTACACCCATGTTTGCAGATATCATGAGTAGGGGCAGATATCTTTTACTTCTATGATTTTTACACTTCAATGACAACGAATACCAACAATCTGATGATAAACTATATAAAATAAAGCCGATAATTACTTATTTACGTGAAAGATTCAAAAAAATTTTAGTTCCTTATTAAAATTTGTGTATTGATGAAAGCTTGATGTTGTGGAAAGATCGACTTAGTTTCAAACAATACATTCCATCTAAAAGGAGCAGATTCGGAATCAAAATATACTTCATATGTGATGTTCGCACTGGAATGATTTTAGATTTCATTATTTACACAGAAACCACCACTGACATGATGAAATTTCCACATGTTGGAGTTTCTGGTTCAACTGTTATGACTTTGATGCAGTCTTACTTAGATAAAGGTCATAATTTATTCTTAGATAGTTGGTTCACAAGTCCCACACTTTTTGAAACATTACATGCAAGATCAACTGGAGCATGTGGTTCTGTAAGAGTCAATAGAGTGGGTTTACCTAAGTTCAAAGAAAAAATTGGGAAGGGTCAACAAGTTTATAAAAGCACAAATAACATGCTGGCAGTAAAATGATATGATAAAAGAGAAGTTATATTGCTATAAACAATCCATCAACCTCATATGGGATTTACTGGAAAAAATGACCCAAAAACTAAGCAACCGATTCAAAAACCAATTTCGATAATTGACTATAATTCTAACCGAGGGACAATTGACAAAGTTTGCGTGCAAATTAGATTTTCTGAATGTGTAAGAAAATCGCTCAAATGGAATAGAAAATTATTTTTTCATATGTTTGATTTATCAGTCCTCAATTCATATTTGCTTTACAAAACGGAAACTGGAAAGAGACCTGAATTAGTAGACTTTCGTTTGCAACTTATACGCGAAATTTTGCAAAACTATCATATTCCAAAACCTACAATTGGACGCTCTGTACACGGCTATAAACCAACTCGACTCACTGCTAGACATGTTCTGTCTCTTGTACCTAGAGGTGTAAGCCGAAGAGTCAAACGGCGGCGACTGTTTTAATAATCCAATTTTTTTCCATGGCGACGACGCCTACTAGACTCTATGTTTTTCTACACCGGCGGCGGCGGCTTTAATTATAAAATTCTTTTCCATAGCAGCAGTGGCTACTATACTTTATGTTATTCTGCAGCGGCGGCGGCTTTCACAACCAAAACAAAACAAAAAAAACGGTTTTGCTCCTAAAAATGTCAGTGGCGGCGGCGCATCATACTATTATCAAAACTTTTCGTTCGTGACGGCGGCGCAACGACTGAACTAACTTTTTCACAGCGGCGGCTAAAAAATTCGTAAAACTATCTCGGATTCCGTGACGGCGGCGGCTGATTTTGGAAAAACATTGGCGGCGCAGCTGGATGGCTTACACCTCTAAAAGGGAACAGATTCGCGTTATAAAGGGTGTCCCATAATAACTGAGGATAATGTTTTATTCGTATTTTTCATAGTTTTACTCGATGTAGAAGGCTGAAATTTTTATCACATATACATCTGATCCAGATGTTTTATTGCTGAAAGTTTCAGCTCTCTAGCTATAACTAGTGGTAAAATACATCGACAAAACTGAATACATAAATTTTCGTAATCGATTTCTGCATATATGTTTACTTCGAAAATATTGTAAGGCAGTTCTAAGGGTAGTCAA